TTTTGATTGATTTCTTGTCGCTTTATTAATAACTTTTCTGCTATATCTTCTAAATACCAACGTGATTCCTTATGCATCACAAAGTGACCAAATAAATCTAGTATTGTTTTATAAGCCAATTGTAATGAATTATTATGATAAATTGTTCTAATAACATAAAAAACTTTTATAAAATCTTGCTGTTGGTTTGCTTTAACTAGTTCTATTTTCCAATAATTTAATTGGTTCTTGTGATGATGGTAGTTTTCTTTTAATTCTGATATGGTAGATAAATAAAAAGCACGTGTTTCATGCATCAGAATAATGTGTTGATTTATGTGAGAAGCACTTATACGATAGATAGTGGGCAACCTTTTAGATGTTGTACATTTTTTCAATTCCTGTACAATATTTGTTTGAACCTATAAAAAGAAATCTTTAATATTTATTTGTGCTAATATATATATACACACACACATATAACTTACTGTTTTAAGATTAATAAACTTTTCTGTTTTTTCTTGATCAAACATTCCTATATTCTTAAAAGATTGAATAAAAATCAAAATAAATATTATGTTTATTTTAATTCAAGATTAATTAGAAATACACAATATTGATACATTTATATATATATAATATACACACACCTCTCCATATACTTTGTTAAAAATTGCAAATTTCAAGATACCATCTATATTTTCAATGATCTTTAAAAAAATAATAGATAAACAAGTTACCATTTTATAATATATATTAATTAAAAGTTTTTTATATGTATAATAAAAAGCAAAAATTAAATAATAACCTCTTCAAAAGTTTTAGGATCTAGATTAAAATTAACTGGCAAATCAGACCTGAAAACCCCTGTATCAAAAAATTTTACATTTTTGTCAGATCTTTTTTTTGAATCTTCTAGACTTTTGCAAGGTGTGTATGACTTGGGTATGAGTATATTAGAATTATGCGCATTAACCTAAATAATATCATTAAAAGTTGAGTATGTACATCATGAAATAATGAATAGTATTAATATTAGCATCATGATAATAATAATTACCATTAACAAGGTTTCACAAAGA